TGCATCACTTTATGTTCAATTATCTGATCTTGTTGGGCTCCACTTGGGAGCAGGGAGATCTGCCCACCCAAAAAGCCTCCGAATCTGCCCCTTTGACCCTTTTCATTCCCCAGTCCACCACTGSCGCGAATTTGCTTGGAAGGAAGAACACAGATTTCGTCCAGTTAATTGCTGCTTCCGAGAGTTGCTCATACTGTCTGAGGCACTGGCGCAAGGCTCCCATTCAGTCCTTCCAGTTCTGAGAGATTGCAAAGAGATCATTTGGCAATGTGAGTGCTTTCACCGTACACATYGTGTCATCAAATTGGAGCCCTTGGATTTCTGTGTGTACCCTTATGTTATTCAGCGGGACTTCCAGGTGAATGATGAACAGTAAGAGTGCAAGTGGGCAACCCTGTCTCAGTGACCGTGTGAGGGAGAAGGTGGTCCACTAATGCCTGTTCACCATCACCGAGGCGGTGGAAAATGAATACAGGGCTATCACCCATGTGATGAACATATCGCCGAATACCATCCATCTTAGTGTTGTCAGAACGTACAACCAATTGACCCGGTCGTATGCCTTCACCGTATCCAGCATCAAGATAGCAATGTCGYGCTCCTCATTGCTTACCACCTCCAGCGCTTCAATTGCCATAAAAATGTTCTCAAAGATGGATCTACCTCTCACAAATGCAGCTTGGTCGTCTTGTACTAACAACGGTAGGTACTTTCCAAGCCTTTTGGCGAGCAGTTTGGCCAGAATCTTGTWGGATGCCGCATTCAACAGGGACATCGGGCGCCAGTTCCTTATCTCATTCATATCTCCCTTCTTAAACAGAATTGAGATGATGCCTTTGCAGGACCTGCTCGGGAGCTTTCCTCCGGTTAGGACTTCATTGTAGACTTCCACTAGGTCTTTACCAATCACCCTCCAGTGCTTCCGATAAAACTCCACTGGAAGCCCATCATTTCCGGGTGTTTTCCCATTCGCCATAGCTTGGAGGTCCTGTGCTGCTTCTTCTTCCGTGGCAGGTCGATCGAGATCCAGTTTCGCATTAATAGCTAGGTGACTTGTTGTGTTATCCCAGTGGCCTGTTGAGCTAGCCAACATTGTGTCTGCCCCTTCCTCCGGCCTTCGCGAGGTGAGGATGTCCTTACAGTCCTTGTAGTATTTGGCGGCGTATGCACACATCAGCTTCGGCTCCACAACGCCCTGCAGGTTCCACGTGGCAACTTGGACTCTAACCATTAACAACTCTGATTCCCTGCTGTGCTTGGATGTGGGGGTTTGAGGGGTCTTCCTATGGCCATGCCTGAGTCAGCAGTGTATGCAGGTACGGTGAGTCCAGCTTGCGATCCTTATCTTGAGCTCCATCAGGCAGTCTGCCGTCAGCATCATGGGAGAGACACTGATTCTGCTCAATTCCTGTCTACGAGCTTCTGCAAAGATTGACAGGGGKACCAAGCGCATGCCAAGGTCCTCCATCTCCACTAAGTTCTGCTCCGATATGTGGGCATCGATTATCGGGACAAACAACTTCATATAATTGTTTCCACTTGGGCCGTAAAGAATACGGGTCATCGGTATGCCTGGAATTGCTCTTGTTGGAGAATAGCCCAGATACAAGCTGCTTACCACTTCGTCGACTCTTGTTTAACCTGGTGTTGGCATGTCCATCACCTGTTGACCAAACAGGGTTTGGGAGCCGGCATTGCGTTGCCACGTCACCACCCATAAGTTGTCTCTTACTGCTGTCACGGTGCGCAGGAGAGGGACAACATACTGCGGGATGTTGGTCCCGGTTCCTCTTGCTGTTGATGCTAGTCTTTGGTCTCTTGTTGTTTTACTTCCTGGGGTGGCGAGGCCTACCTCCTGGCTCACTGAGCGTTCCGAGTCACTAAGGGAGATCCTTGATCTCTCTTACTGTATGTCTCCACCCGAGAAGCTCACTCACAGCTTCCGCTGCTTGTCTGCCGATAG